AGCTCGCAGGCCGTTGACGCGTTCAGGTCCAAATCAGCTGTACCGGGCATGCACGGCGTGCAAACCCGACCCGCGGGCTGCAAGCTCGATGTGCCGACCGGACAAGCCACACAAGGGGTCAAGGGGTCATTGTCGTCATCGATCGTGCCAGGCACACAAGCCGTGCATACCACATCACTGCTGCTCGTGCCGCTATCTGACCGGTATGTGCCAGCATCGCACGTCCGATGCGCAAAGCACGCCTCCAGGTTCGTCCCGTTGCTAAACGTCCCCGCACCACACGTCGAGCACTGACGATCCACACTCTCCTCGCAATCCGCGGTCATGTACTCCCCCGCCTGACACACCCGGCACGACGCACACTGCGCCGGATGCACCCCGTCGCTCTCCCGCGTCTGGTACGCCCCGGCCTCGCATCCCTCAAAAGTAGCGCACACCGTGTCCGACGTCGCCGTGCAGTTCTGCGAGATAAACTCGTCCGCCTCGCCATCACACGCCCCACACGTTCCACACGTCTGGCTTCCTCCGTCGTTAAACGTCGCGCCCACACTGCACCCCGAGCACACCCGATCAGTGCTCGACGTCGGCGCCATCGTCTCACCAAACCCAGCCCCGCACACCGTGTGCGACACGCATGCCTCGTTGCCCGACGTCCCCTTGTACTTGCCCGCTCCACACGCAATGCACACCCGATCCGTCGTTGCCGTAAACGCCGTCTGCTCCGTCTCCCCAGCCCCGCATTCACGCGGTGTCTGGCACGTCACTGCATTCGGCTCCGACTGAAACTGCTGCGGCAAACATGCCTCGCACGCCGTCGTCGGATCGCTGTCCGTATCCGCTGTACCCGCCGGGCACTCGTGCGTGGAGCACGCGCCCGTGGCCCCGGCCGCCACATACGTTCCCGCGCTGCATGGTTGACAGGCCGTCGTCACCGTGTTGTCGTGGTCTGTCGTGCCGAGTGCGCAGACGTCGCACACCAAGTCCGATGTCGGCGTGGCCGACTGCGAGATGTATGACCCGGCAAAGCACTGCGATACACCCGTGCAACTGGCAGCGTTGGTGGTGCTGCTGAACCCAGTCTCACCGTCACAGGCGTTGCAGACGCGGTTGTCCACGCCATTGCAGCTACTGGCCACGTCCTCGCCCGGCTGGCAGGTACGGCAAGCACCGCAGACGACATCGTTTGTGCCGTCATTGCCGGCAGTGATGTATTGCTCAGCACCGCACGCTGAATTTGCATCGCACTCCGTGTCTGCCACGGCGGTACACGTGGCTCCCAGATGAAAGCCATCAGGGCAGCTGGTTCGGCAGGCCGCACATTCATCGTTGGCGGCATATTCGCCGACAGCGCACTCGCGGCATGTGCGATCGCTTGAGGAGGTGGGGTTTGTGTCCGTCACCCAGCCAGCATTACAAGTCGAATGCACCTCACAGGTAAGAGCATTAGTGCTGGTGCTGAATTCGCCGGCCGGGCAAGGCTGACAGATGTCCACGTCCGCGCGATATTGACCTGGCATACATGGGTCCATGAGCTCGCACCGCGGAACGAGGGCTCCATTTTCCAAGCGTTTGGTGTGAATGTTATCGCAGGTTTCATTGAGCAGAGCAAGGACCGCAGCATCCAAATTAACGTAGCCACTGGGCCCCTGATTGGTCACAGTGACAAGCACAGGCCCCACGGTCAAGTCAAGACGGGCAACCTCTTGCACGTTGCTGCCGCTTAACATGTTGACAGTAGATGTTGCTAGGACATTGCCAGCGCTGTCGGTCACTGTTACGGGGGCGGCCGTGGAGCGACCCGCAGCGATGGGGACGAGCAGTGCAATCACATAATGGCCTACAAGGTCAGCCGTAAAGTTGAAGGTCATTGACTTGAAAGACGAAGAGGAGCCGTCATGAAAATAGCCCACACCGTAATACGGATCAACGGAGCGAGAAAAGGACCATGAGCCAGTTGTGGTGACGAACGGCGAGTCGTCGCTGTCCAGAAACTGGAACGGCGCTGATCGGGTGGGGACAAAGGTCATACTATCAGCGCAGAGAGCACCGCTGCCTGCCGCGTTTTCCACCTCAATAGAGCCAAGACCAGCCAGCATCATCTAGATCGCAACGGGGCAAATGAGACGGGCAGCAAACCATGTCCTTGAGTGCATCCACCGATTTGTTTCATGAAGAAAAATCAGAATGAAATCTAGGAGCGAGGCTTGAGGAGGCGCTTACGGTGCGAGTAGCATAAACGAGCTCGCCCTCCAGGGTTTTTTGATCCACATAGCCTGGCTGGATGCCAATAGGGTTGAAAACGCTAACAGGGGTATAACTGGCGTTTCTGGTTCGAGAACTGTAGGGCGCATAACGCACATACACTTTGGCTTCGACGAAACCAACCACCTAAAACAGAAATTCTGTTGAGCCGGGCGACCCCCAATGGGACACGGAGTGGTAGTGTTGCACGCGAATGGCACGACTGTGGCTCACCCGTGGAAATTTGTAGATGACTTTGGCATTTGAGGAAGTCGAGAGATGGTAGTATTTGCCAGCATAATTGAAAGCCGTATTGACATGAAACGTCCAAGCGCCAGAAGCCAGATCTACATCGTCTGGAGCTACAAGAGAGGCCAAAACGGCGTGAAGGGTTTACCAAGCAGTATCGGCCTCGGCAAAACTGCACCATCTCTGCCCGCAGGCTTCGTGCCCGGAGACGTACTAAGGTCGCGATCCTTCTCCAGCAGGGTTGTTGGTTCGAGATGTAAAGCATCAGCCTGATATACGCTGGAACTTGAGGAAGGGTTACTTCGTAAGTTGTTCAAGTATGCTTCGTAGACACCGATAGACAAATAGGCAAAAGGCCCTGGCTCAACCATAGCATCATCGCCGCCTAGTTCGGTGTTCTGTGTCACGTGCGTCAAAAAGCCCGTACGAGGCTGAGTCATGTCACGAATGCCAAACATGATTTGCCCGACGCTCTGAGCCAAGCCTTTGTGCGTCCTGGTGCCAAGCATGTTGTTCGAGTGAGGATATCTTATCACCATATGATAAAGGGTCAGGACATGCAGAAGCCCCATGAGCAAAAGAGAAGGAAACGCACAGGCCCAAGCGGTAAACACCGGGAAAGCGGACGGAGAATTGCCAGCGGAATTCGGCAAAATTGGCATCGCTTGAGCTGGAAACCCCGCCAGTGGCGGTTAGGTCTATCGGGTGTGCATTAAAGTGTCGGTCACGTCGTATGAATACGCCAGGCATTTAAGCGAGACTGATGTCAGGGCCGGACACAAGCGCAAACGCAAACGTAAACCTTAACGTACAGTCAGTGCCAGCAAACCCATCGGTGGTGCCAGAGGGTGTCCAAACGCCAACGGATGATGTATGAGCTGTGTCACTGTTGTCGATATATAGGGCCTTGGTGAGCCAGACTCCATCAAAGATGCATTCGTCGTAGTTGTCGGTCAGCTTTTTGACCAAGACTTTGCTTGAGGTATCGAGGGTGAAAACCCCGGCATATCGAATAGGATCGACGGCTTGATCCCAAGACAAGGAGGTTGTGCCGTCGACGTGAATGATCCGCAACTCGATGCTTGTGGATGGACGACCTTCAAAAGGTCCACCAAAGGCGAAGACACCGTACACGCCAGGCTATGCCGAGACAAAGACACGGGAATTCAGAAGCATTTAAAGAGCAAACAACGTATATTTGAGATGACACGCAATAGCAGTACTGGGTGTTGGAGCTCACCAGCTCTTCATGCGTACCTCGGGAACAGGGGTAAACACCTCAAAGTAGGCGTTGAGGGTCACAGCCTTTTGAACTGTTGAACCCAGGTGACTTTCATTGGCCGGGGGCGAGTAGGGGCTAAAGTTGTCTATCAGGAAGGCAATAGAACAGCAATAGGCCACCCAGGACAAGATTAGTTTCGGTGTGCTGATGCCAGTCCAATAGAAAGACGAAGCGAGTAAGTCGTGGCAAACACACCACTGCGAGAAAAGGTGTCAGTGTCTTCTGGGTTGATGACAATGCCACGTTGAATGACAAAGGCGTCCAAGGCAATGTAATACTAGAGGAGGCGCGATAAGGTTGAGCAAGAAGTGAAACTGGGAAAGAGGGAAGAGAGGACGAGTGGGGGCTGGCAGTATTTGGTGGGGAGATTGGGAATGGGCCGCGGCGGCCTACCACATTATCAGGATCTTGTTTTATTTCGACAGAAACGCGACTGGGCGGGAGGAGGATGCATTCGAGCGAGCGAAGGCCATCGGGTTGAGGCTCAGCTGCGCGTTGATTGATCTCAAAGGTGCGGACGCGGTTTGGATCGGTGCCAGGCTGGTCCAGGAGAGTGATGACGACTTGGGTCGTGGTGCTTCGAAGGGTATGAGCGCAATCGGTCATGTAGAAGCACCAGTAATCTTCGAGGGGCACGTCGAAAAAGGCTGTCATGCTGGCATTGTCAGTGGTGGCATACTACAGAGGCACGTCGAGAGGGTGCAAGGATGTGGATTGGTTGGAAGCTATGAATGAGGAGGTGGTACACGCAGCTGGTGCATCGGGCTCAAAGGGGCAAAATCGGCAGGCATTCAATGACTAGACTGAAGCAAGCTTCCGGAAGCAGGTTGACAAAGGGGAAGCGATCATTACCATGCAGTTGTCGCCATAGACCGGCGGTACAGAGGAGGGACGCCAGTTGCCGACAGCGGTCATATCATCGCGAGCGTCGACATCTTCCGAATCAAAGTAGTAGGTATCCAAGCCGACGAGATCTTCAGCTGCAACGTGGGAAAACAAGGCAGGTCAAGGGTGCAAAGCTGGCAAGTAAGGTGCCAGATTGGGGCAGGGTGGGGCGAGGTGAAGGTCCGGGCGCGAAACGTACCGCGTTTAAAGGCAAGCGGGTGGTAGCTGTCGGTTTCAGACTCTTGGGCATGAACCTCAAAGCCGATCGCGGCAAGGAGAAGGAGCAAGCCCAATCGTGTGGCCAGCGGGCACGGGCACAGGGCACGCCCCCGTCTACCAGGCGATGAGGAAAACATGCCTTGAACCCCACGTTGGCCAGCCCACGCAAAGTCAGCCACCCCGGTTCTCATCCAGTGTTCACCCTTGAAAAGCCTGCATTCGCCGTTCTCTCTCTCTCTCTCTCTCTCTCTCTCCCTCGTCCTGCACCAGGTTCAAGTATATATCCCTCCCCCTCTCTCTCTCTCTCTCCAACTAAACGTGTGTGTGATGAGAGAAAGCGCCTGTCTCTCTCTCTCTCTCTCTCTCCCTCTCTCTCCCTCTATCTGAAAGCAAAGATCCGAGTTTATCCCAAAAAAAAAAAAAGTAAAAATGGCAGTGTGTGTGTGTGTGTGTGTGTGTGTGTGTGTGTGTGTGTGTGTGTGTGTGTGTGTGTGTGTGTGTGTGTGTGTGTGTGTGTGTGTGTGTACAAAAACACACAACCCAACCAAAGGAAGCAAAACATCAACAATGCACACAAACACACACAAACACACACAAACACACACTCTCTCTCTCTCTGTCTCACTCTCTAAAACTCTCTCTCTTAGTCTTGTTTACGAAGCGGCTTCTTCTTCGTTTTATGTTTACATGTTGTTAGGTATGTCTTCCTTTTCTTCCTAGGACAACTGGGAAGAAACCTGTTAGGGGGGACGACATGAACTACCACTGCTACTCTTACTGCAACAGCAATAACCTCATTGTCGCTAACTTTAACTTGCCCAGCCACGATGAAACGATCATCAAGGGCGGCAAGATCGACACAAGAGTCACTGGGCTGGCCGGGGTATGATGAGCGGCGGGATCATCGCGATCCAATGCACCTTCATTCTGGCTCAGCCAGCAGCAACAGCACTCAGCTCCTCCTGCTTGTCTTCCCAGTCGACTCCAACCAGGAGAAAAAAGCAAAGAGAGAGGTACATTAGCATTCAAGCACAAGCTCTGTCGTTGGATGTGGCGGTTGAAGAAAGGCAAGTTATGAACTCAAGCAAGTGTGTGTGTCTGTGTGTCTGTGTGTCTGTGTGTCTGTGGTATCAGTCTGGAGTCGTGTGGTCAAGTGATTGATCTATGTTCGGCGGGTGCGGTGGTTGGGATGGGCTCCTCAGCATCAGCATTGGTGGTGGAGGATACTACAGCCATTGGGATCAGCGTGTCACTGCGAGCCGAGTCGAGCAAGGCCGGGATCAACACGTGACCCTAATGCACGACAAGCTCAGTTCTCGATCAGGCACTGAAGCATTCAAAAACAAAAAGACCGCAATTTGCTGGTATCGCTCACACAGCCGAGGCTGCTCCCAATGCTACGTGTACGTCGGGGCCACCCTTGTACTTGTGTGTGCGCATTTGCCTTGACATGGAGCGGATTCCCGTGGTCACACCTTCATCAACAACACGGACAGCCGAGGCTGTTCCCAATGCTTGGGTGCGCGCATCTGCTTTGACGTGGAGGGCATTCCTGTGGTCATAAGTCACGTCAAGTCGGGAGAGGTCGAGATGGGGACCTTTTTATATTTTTTTTTGGTTTTCTTAGGCATTAGGCATTGGGCAAGACGTACAACTCAGCGCCTTGCTCGCCATTTTTTTTCTGGGTCCCCGTCTCAAGATGTCGAGCACTGGCAGTTCAGACGGGCAATCTGCGAGCTTGCAGGGCTTGGTTGGAGCCATGGGTGATGTCGATTAACCATCGGCCGCTGAAGTTGAAGTACACAAAGCCGAGGATGCACGGAACGAGGCAATTGACGAATTGAGAGTGGCCACTGGCACGGAGGCCGAGGCCAAAGCCAGAGCAGACGTGGTTGAGGCCAAACGCGACTTGGCTCAAGCCGAGGCCAATGACAAAGCGAACGTGGCCGAGGCCAAGTTGGATTTGGCCATTTCACAACAAAGCAGCGCTGCCGAGTGCTCATTGGAGAACTTGCACGCTGAAGAGCACAGAGCTCGCAAGAGGCAAGATGAACTTGACCGGTACTTTGAGTACTTGACGGCCCGAAGAGTGGCAGCTGCATCGAGCGATCCTAAACGATTCTATGGGATGTCGTTGGCACAAGCAAGTGTGCCCTGGCCGGGATCCTCAGACAGCTTTCATGAACGCTTCTATAAATACGTGATGGAAAATTCTCTATGCACAGTCGCAGACGAGGCTACGACCAACGGATTCATGTGGAGATTTACCACGGAGCAAACGAGCTTGCTTAGGGACCTGCCCAGGGGCAATACCAATCTAAAAGCGCGCTGCAAACTGCTTGGGCTTCCTTCTTGCAAGACAGCCAGCTCATCTCATGTTACGTTTGCAGCTTCCCCCATTTTGCAGCCTTGGGCAGGCACAAGCTCGACATTGTTTTGGGAGCAAGAGAGCCTTGCAAGGATGCCAACATTGCCTGCATTCTGGAGCTCAAGCTTGGCACAGGGTCTTTCCAAGAGCAGGCACAAGAAAAGCTCACCATTGACCTGTTCGAATTGCTGAAGTTGTCTCCAACTCGAGGCTTCTGCTTTGGTGCATTGGTGAATGAGTCTGATTTCCACATCGTTCGCGCAGACCGCCGACGCGATGGCTCGATTTACTTCACAACCATGGAATCCGGCGAGCTGGCCTCGGGCAGGCCTCTTGTGCAGCTCCTTACCATGCAGCCCACGGAACTGGGTTTCGTTGAAGTGCAGGCGATCATTCACGACAGCAATGGACAGCCCGTGACATACTTTTCATTCAGCTTCCTTGGCCAAGGCAACCATTGCAAAGCATACAAAGGCTACTTTGATGGGGAGGAGGCCGCCTTCAAGATTTTCAACGAAGAAGCCGCCGAGGACATGGAAAATGAGTGTGATGTACTACATCAGCTGCAGGCGGCTCAGGTTCCAAACGTGCCCCTCCTCAGGCTCGCTCCCGTGATCAAACGACCCCCAGCTGCTGCATTGTGACCTCTGTGGGCAAAAAGTTCGAGACGCGGCCCAAAGCATGCGAACTACAGTTGCTTTTGGGTGTGCTCAAGGCTGCGCACAAAGCCGGCTTTGTTCATCGTGACCCGCTTCCGCGAAACTATTTACGAGTGCCAGGTGGAACAGTCTTGTTCAACGACTGGGGGTCAGCTGAAAATATTCGCAAGGGCAATCCTGTCATGCCTGTCGGCTGGCCAGCCGAGCAGGCAGAAGAAATGATTCCACAGACTGCCGTTGACTGCAGTGCTTGCATTGTGTGTGGCCGCTTATGCTCGAATCATCGGCAGCAACCCGTCGTGCCCCAATTCCGGCACGACCTGGAAATGTTTGCAAAGAGCATCTTCCTGAAGTTGGTCTACATAGCTTCAAAAGCAGAGCAGAGCTTTGGAATATGGAGCGATCATCCCGATGCCTTAGCGTGGCAACCCGTCTTGGCTGCTGCGCGCGAGCTACCCGACTTCCAAGCCCATCAACACGATCCCGAAATCTTTGTGGAAGGGTACGAGGCGATCTACAAAAAGTTTGAGGAGACGCTCTTGCAGCACTACAAATCGTGAATATGGCTGCAATGGCCTACATGCCGTGCCCCTTCTGCGTTGCAGCAGGCAAGCTGTGTGTCGCTGTGTTTCCAAATGTCAAATTCAACATATTTGATATCATCACATTGAAGTTGTCATGCATAGGCTTGAGGAGGGGCGGGACGTACTTACAGCTCACGACTCACATCTCTGCCACTGCGCGAGAAATATCATAGTTGCCTCGAGGAAATTAAAGGAGAGGAAGAAAAGATGAATTCGTTGCAGAGATCCAACCGACAACAGCAGCAGTAACATGAAGCACAATCTGATGCCTCAGATGGGATTGAAAACTGAGCTCATTGGTTTGGGTGACCAACCAATGAGTGCGACAATTTTAGCAAGCGCACAAGCGCAAGTGCACACACACACACACACACACACACACACACACACACACACACACACACACACACACACACACACACACACACACACACACACACACACCACGCATGGGTAGCATAGAACCCAAATGAAGCACAGGTTACAACGTTCGTTAGTTAGGGAAATTCCGAATCGGCTTCGTCAAATTGTTGATCCAGGTAGCCCGTATCCTCTGCGCCCTCAAAGCCTTGCTCCAGGTATCCATCTTGAATTGGATCCAAGTCCTCTGCTGCATCTTCGACGCCAACATCCAAGTCTGTGGCCAGGTGTCCAGTCAACAGATGAACAGGCACGCGTCCCACACGCCGCCTCAACCCCATGCATGCTCACTCGCCCACTGCACACAGAACATACATCCGGGTTCGCCAAAGTCGGGCCTCTGCTGCTGGTCATGGCCGAATGGCTCAGCATGGCCCAGGCTATCGTAATGACCAGCATCCTCCAGGCCTACGCCCTCCGACTCGTACACTGGATTCTCGCGCTCGTGGTTGTCATACTACCAAGACACACCCGCACACACGCGCCGCCGTGGATGCAGCAAGAGGTTCAAGTAAGAGTTGGCAGAGGACATGCATCTGACTGCCAAACGCGAAAACCGCGACTAACCATGGGATTCTCAAAGCCGATCATGTCTCGCTCCTGAGCCTTGCGAGACAATTTGCGACGACGGGCTTGCACAAACAAGAGCACGCCCACACCCGCAAACACGCCCAACACGCTAGCGCCAATCGCTACGCCCAAAACCAAGGCATCTGAGCCACTCTGTAGAAGTAAAGATTAACACAACAGGAGCACAATAACACGACGTCGTGCCCAGCAAGTGGCCGCGCGATGGGCCCGATTAGCAAACGAAATTTGATGAAAATATGAAGCCGACCACATGCTGCTCTGCCTTCACGCACCGAACCAGTTGACGCGCTGGGGTCACCAGCAGCCCTGTTGCCCGTCGTGGTAGGTGCGCTTGTCGTGGTGGTCGTTGATGCCACGCCCAGCTGAACATCCCCAGCCATAAGCCGAGGTAAGATGTTATCGCCACGGCATGCAAGGTCACGGGCTTGATTTTCTCACCTCGGCGACCATGGTCGTGCCGTTGTAGGCAAAGGATACCTCCTGGCCAAATGCCTCATCCTCCGTTTGATTCAGGGTTGAGTTGTCAAACATGCCATATGCCCCAATGAGTACCTGGACTGCTCGACGACGGCTCGTCATTTCTTCGTAGATGGGGGCCACTCCAACCACGTGCGATCTACGTCCAGTTCACCGAGCATCATCAGAGTGTCAAGCTCGATCAGCTACGGAACAATTTGTTTAACAAACCCCATCTCAACGCCCCCATCCCCAACTTTTGCCAAACGAATCTCAGCAGACGCACCCGTAATCGCTGCTCTCTATCAAAGCAGATTGAAAAGCTGCTAAAAGTCCACGCTCAAAGGCTCCGCCAGCCTCCATCGTCAGCTTCATCGTCAGCAGAAACGTCACCACCCGGCTTGAAGCGCACTGCACATTGCTTGTAGTCGTGCCGTTTTGCCACACATACGTCTCGGGTGCTGTGCACACGCGCCAGGCGTTGCATGCCGGTGGCGTGGCCGTGGCCGAGTCCCCGCTGGCCTTGAAGGTACCAAGCGGACAAGTCCGGCAGACGCGATCAGATGTCGTGGTGGCCATTACAGCCTGTTCTTCGCCAGCCTGACACTGTGTGGCAGGAGTACACGCTGGGCTGTTGACGGCGCTGCTGTAGTCTAGGCCTTGGAAACAGGCTTCACAGCCGCGGTTGGCCGTAACGCTTGGCGCCTCGCTCTCACGCGCGCCAGGAGGGCAGTCAACCACCGCTAGACAGCGAACCTGGCCTTTGAGTGGCTGATAGCTGACCTGAGCCTCGCAAGGCTCACACGGCGTGCTGGGATCAGCATCCAAGTCTGCCCAGCCCGCTGGGCAGGCAGTACACTCAAACGCCCCGACCTCCGTTTGCGCGGTGCCCACCTCACACGTCACGCATGCCGTGTGTGGATCATGGTCATCGTCAATCGAGCCTGCGACGCACAACTCACAAGAGGTGTCCCTCGTTGCCGTTCCATTCGCAGACTGATAGGAACCCTCCGCGCACACTTGATGATCGGTGCACTCGAGGACGTTGACACCGGTGCTAAACTTGCCGACGCCGCATGCTTGGCATGTTCGATCCGAAGATGCGCCGCACTCCGTCACCATGTATTCACCCGATTGACAAATCCGGCAACCTTGACATTGTGCAGGTGAAATGCCATCATTCTTCCCCACCTGGAAGCTTCCAGCTTCACAACCTGCAAAGGTCTCGCATATCGTGTCACTCGTAGCCGTGCAGTTTTGTGCGATAAACTCATCACTGGCACCGTCACATGTCGCACAAGTGAGGCACACTTGGCCGCGCCCATCGTTGAAGGTCAAACCAGCACCGCAACTCATGCACTCGCGGTCGCTGCTAGAAGTCGGCGCGACTGACTCGCCCATGCCCACGCCACAGGTGGAATGGGCGACGCAAGCCTGCGTGCCGGCTGCGTTTTTATGCTTGCCCGAGGCGCAGGCAACGCAAACGCGATTAGTGGTCGCGGTGTAGTCACTTTGCATGGTGGTACCAATTGGGCAAACGCGAGGCACGTTGCACACAGTAGCCCCACTGGTGTTCTGGTATTTGCCGAGCTTATAACAGCTCTCGCACGCCGTCCTGGGGTTACTATCCGTGTCGGCTTGCCCCGCTGCGCAGGCAAATGAGGCACAAGGCCCGGTGGAGCCGGCCGGCACATAGGTACCCGGCTGGCAAGTTTGGCACTCGGTTGTCACTAAGGAATCGTGATCTGCCGTGCCTGCCATGCAGGGTACACACTCCAAATCCGAGCTGGCTGTCGGAGGCTGTGACAGGTATGAGCCAGTGTCACAAGAGCTGGTACTCGTGCAGCTAGCAGCGTTGGTGCTGTCACTGTAGCCCGTGACGCCGTCACATGCCACACAGATGCGGTTGCTGTCCATCAATGTCCCGGAGAGTTGGAAAAAAGAAAAAGCCAACAGTGTGTGAGGAGGCAAAGTCATGAAAATGCCGCCTATACTGTTTGCTTCGAGCAGCAACAGTCCGACACAGACCTGGTTTCGTCGCAATCGTGCGTCATGTATTCGCCAGGATGACACACAGTGCAGTCACCGCACACAACATCGTTTACACCATCACCAGAAGACGCAATGTATTGGGTGTTCGTGCAATCTGAATTTGGAACACACACCGCATCCTAGCCAAGATTGAAGAAAAGAAGCGATGTCCGTAAGATACAACATCGTGCAGTTTATAAAGGAGCAACATCATGTCCCGGCTTGGGCCACCAAATGCAATACTCACTGCCACACTGGTGCAATTTGTCTCCATATGAAAGCCATTGCCGCAACTACAAACAAATTGCACAGCACAGCGTTGGTTCAGAATGCAGGCATCAGGATATGTGTATCGCGCTTCAGCACCAACCTCGTGCGGCATGGGTTGCAGGTGGCGCCATTGTCGGCAAATTCATTCTCCCCACACTGGACGCAAACTCGATCTAGATTACCAATGCATATTCGAATGAACGTTTCGTCAACAGAGTCAAACCCACGACTGAGAAACGTTGGCAGTGTAGCACGCCAACCGTACCAGTGGAGCTTGTGGGGGCACTCTGCGTAATCCAACCCGCCTCACACGTTGAATGTGGGTCACAGGCCACGGCATTGTTACCGGTGCTGAACGTATTGGCTGCACAGGCCGAACACTGATCAAGATCCGACTACGTACCAACCAAGAAATCAGCCCCGTTCCATAAGTTGCCAAAATCGATGAGATGACGCTGGCTGGATTTCGCAGTCATGCCAGCAGAACAGGATACACATACACGAAATTCTCCAGGTAGACAGGGCTCCATCAACTGGCAGCGGTGCACAAGGCTGTCGATGTTTGCATCCTTGGTTGAAACGTAATCACAGGCTACATTTGCACAATGTCAGCTGCTACAGAAGACAGGAAACACGGGAACTAAAGGCAAGTGCAGACTATCCATGCGGCACGTACTTTCGTTCAATAAGGTGAGAAGCATGGCATCGACATTGACATAGCCTCGATCGAGACTGGTCAAATCATTGGAGATGGTAGCGGTCAAGCTTCCGACCGGAAGCTGCGGGCAAAATCAAGCAGAACCAGACCGAAATTACGCGCAAAATGTAGCCGGGCCAAATGACCAAGAGGGATGCGCGAGGGGATTTGAGAAAATGGATTCAGGGATTCTGTGACACATCCAAAAAAGACTCTCATTTTAAGCGTACCTCGAGACGGGCCAGCTGGCGAACGTTGTTGGTTGGGCGTGACATATTAATTGTCAAGTGGGTCACTTGACCCTGCGCATCAGTGATGGTGAGAGGGACGCTTGTGGCACGGTCCCGGAAGGTGGGGAAAAAGCCAATCAATGCATAGAGGCCCGGGTGCTCAACATCAAAGTTGAACGTGACAGTGCATTCAGCTGCAAGGAGCAGTCGAGCACAGAAACATTTTAGTTTCACACCAATGAGTCAACTGACACGTGTAGGCGGCGAGTTGAGTGAGCCACCTGAGCCCGACATGGCCTGGTGCACATGCAGGCACCTACAGTTCGTGCTGGAATCGTGATAATAGCCAACGCCGTGGTAGGCATTGTTGTGAACACGGGAAAACTGCCAAGGCCCCGTCATGACAACCTGACTCAAGGCGAGTGTGAGCAGGCTTGTTGAGGACGACGCTCCAGTGCGCAGTGAGGTGACGATTGCAGCAAGTGCGGGCATGCGTACCTTGCCCGAAGTGTCATCGGTATCAAGAAACTGGTGCGGGATCGAGCGTACAGGCCGAAAGGTCATTGAATCAGCACAGACAGAGCCTGCGCCATAGGCGTTGGCAATCTCAATCTGCCCAGCTCGGGGGAACACGAGCTGTGGTGTCACCATTGATAAAGCAGACCATGAGGCATCGCGCGGCATGGTAAGAAGGACCACCAGGGGTTTTTCTCATGATGGTTTAACCGAAGCATGAACATGGAAGGACGTACGGTACGAAAAAGAAAGGTATTGCTATTGGCACTCGTTGAGTGATCAAGAAAAGTGGGAGCCACGGGCCTTGGATTGAGATCAGTGTGGAGCGTATAGCTGACATTCTTGGACCTTGACGCATAGGGCACGATATGCACTTCCACATCCACTTCCATCACACCATACACCTTTGAAAGTTAATCACGCGTGCAGGGCCAGAACACAAGTCAAGAATGAGGGCACGCTGCAAGGGAAAAAGCTGGGGGGAGCTCTGCGAATGAGAAAAAACTTTGCACTAGACGCATGCCAAGCAACCACAGGCAAAGGCCAACGGTCGGGGACTCGGGACGTGCGCTGCGACCTTGGGAGTATTGTACAAAGCCGTCGAGGCGCTCGCGTAAGCGAGATGGTAAGTATCGCCGATGTAACTCAAGCTGCCACTTGAAAACGACTCCCAGGCCCCATTCAGAGTGACTTCATCGGGAGCTGCAGAAGCAAAGAAAACGAGGTGAACTTGATGCAACTGTACCCTCGGCACGGATCAATTTGACACGTCGATCACAAGGTTTACAGGAAAGGATTCGCGACAAATAACGTACTTGTGGAGGGATCCAGGAGGACGTTACGTACGGGCTCAATGTGAACGGCGTCCGCTTGAAAGACCGTGGTGGCCGAGGAGGCAAGGCCGTGGATGTTATTGATCCAAACGGCATGTGATCCTGCATCAAAATACACCTGGCCGGCGCTCGAGGAGAATTGATTTTGGGTGCCGAGCGCCGTGCTTTGATCGTTGGTTTGAATATACTGCGCGTAGGGGCCATTGCTGCTTCCGACCAAGGCAGACGTGGCAGCGTTGGCCAGACTCTTGTGCGTGCTGGAACAGAGGCATGAAGCATAAGAAAGTACAGTCTGCAAACATCAGCGTGGGGAGGGGTTCAAAGGGTCGCACACTCACAGTCCGATGCGGTAAATGCCGGGAAAGCGGACGTTAAAGTTCCAACGAAACTCGGCAAAATCAGCGGTGGAAGCATCGGCCACGACACCCGTCTTGGTGAGATCTGCGTGGGGAAGAAAGCAGAGCAAGCCGCAGCGTTGAGTGCTTGAGCCGGAACGATCGGGAGAACTCAAGAGGCGACCTGTCAGAGTCAGCGCGAGGATTTCACTTGTGTTTACGAACAGTTGGAGTTGGCAAATCCGTCTGCACTGGTGGAAAGGGTCCAACTGCCGATGGAGGATGTTTGGTCGAGATTGCCGTTATCCACGCTCAAAGTTCGGGTCAGCCAAACGCCGTCAAAGATGATAAAATCTTCATCGCTGGTCAGTTTCTTGAAAAGGACCTTGGAGGAAGAGTCGAGAAGAAAAGTGCCGGCGTAGAAGATATCAGATACGAACTGGCTCCAATGGAGGCTGGTCACGCCATTGACATGGGAAATGCGGATTTCGACGTCGTTGGATGTCAAGAGACGTAAATGTGTAAATCCCCAGGCTGATAAAGCACGGCAACCAGAATTGGCTTCGTAAAAACGGCAACCAGCACTGGATGTCGCACCTCCTCGACCGGGGTGCGCACTTCGACAAAGGCACTGTCCTGGGAGCCTGCAACGACGTTGTTGCCAAGATAGACCGTTCCGGCTGCTGGAACTTTGTATTGGGCGCCATTCCCTGTGTAAATTTTGGAGCAGAAGAAGCGAATGGTGTTGCACGTGAGCTGGAGGGATGCGCGAGAGAGAGAGACGAGGCATACCCAATCAGCAGGCTGTAAACGAACCCATGCGCACAAAGGTGTCCGTGTCCTCAGTGTCGATGACAACACCGCGCCTAATGATGATGGCATCAAGGGCGATGGTGCTGACGGCATCGGGGTCTTGCTTGACCTGGACGGAGACGAGTCCCACGCGCATGTATATCCGAGCGAGGGTACGGTACATGTCAGCACCGACGGCGCCCGAGGTTTGGTCCACTTTGACGGTGCGCATGCGGTTAGGATCGGACTCAGGCAAATCAAGCTGCGTGATGACGACGTTTGTCACGGTGCTTCGCGTCTCGTGCGGACAGTCGGTGATGTAGAAGCTCCAGTAGTCCTCCTCGGGCAGCTGCAGATAGGCGGTCATACTGGCTGCAGCACCTGTGCTATACTGTCGGGCAGACCAGCACCGAGGAGGTGAGTGGTTAAAGGAGAGGAAGATTACCACAGACAGGGGTGGTCGTGACGCTTGAGGCTGGTCGGCGAAGCATACCAGACAGTTATCGCCATAGCGGCCTGTGATGCCGGACACTCTCCAGAGCCCGGCCAGGTCGGTGGCGTTATCAGAAGGATTTTGAAGGGCCTGCTCTGAGTCAAAGACATAAGTATCAAACCCGATCAAGTCGAGCGCTGGAGGACACGGGTCATGGGTTGCCGATCGTAAGACGTGCAGCGTTGAAACAAGCAAGATGAGAAGCGTGTGTCAAGCACAAGAAGAGAGGCATTGATCCTTTGAAGAGAAACACGGGCAGACACCTTACCGCTTGATGCATCCATCAAATGATTTGCGCCAGTCGGTATCACGGTGGCAGCAACCTCGCGCACCACGCCCACACTGGCAGCCACCAACAACAAGGCAGCCAGGCGGTGCGCCATGATATTTCTAGCACAAAGAAGAGATTACAAGGTCGATCAAGGATGAGGGCTGACCTCGATCCCAGTGAGATCTGCCCCGTCCCCGCACTCGACCAAACTCTGTCGCGCCATCATGGTGTGCGTCATTACATTAGACAATCGATAGAAAAGCAGGCAGCACGCGCGCACCTGCCAGTCACGATATCAGCAGGCAATGGCAGTGGCAATCACGAAGCAAGGGAGACGACGACGACGACAGCCCGGGGAGACAGATGGAGTCGGGCAACTGATCGAGACGGCGTCAGTGTGTGTGTGTGTGTGTGTGTGTGTGTGTGTGTGTGTGTGTGTGTGTGTGTGTGTGTGTGTGTGTGTGTGTGTGTGTGTGTGTGTGTGTGTGTGGAATGGCACGCGCAAACCATGTCCTTATTGTTGATGTTTCATGTCACTCTCTTACTTCATCGTAATATCCGCTAAAGTCAGGGTGACTGCAGTTAGATATATATACTTGTTGTTGCACGATTTTGACATGTTGCAGATATAAATGTTATAGCAGTTTATATTGATTATGTTATCGAAGCATTTTTATGAGTTGATGATGATATTTCGGTAGTTATTGTAGAAGATCTTGGGGATGTTGGTTGCAAACGAAACATCAACAATCAACGGCGAATTCTGGTTTCTCTCTCTCTCTCTCGCTTCTCTCTCTCTCTCGCTTCTCTTTTTTTTCGCGAAGGCCGCTTGCACCTTGTTCCCTGTCGGTCTCTCTCCCTCCCCCTTTTAATTGGCCCTCTCTGTTGCTCGCTCTGTTGCTCGCTGCCTCTCTAACTCTTCATTTTTCAATCTGCTCATCTCTCCATAACGATCGATCTGTGGTTCTGAATTGGAGAAGAAACACACACACACACACACACACACACACACACACACACACATACACACACCACAAAAGAGGCTAACCCGATTGACACTCGTGGTACCAATCGTTTATATTCACACGCCAACAACAAACACGCTGAGCCATGGGTCATCTCTCTCCATGGCTCATCTCTCAAGGGGAAAACAAATGCAGACACGTGGTCGCGGATTGATCTAAAGTCCCGCTATGAAAGCTCGCCGACGGGCGCGCAGTCAAGCCACAGCTGGTGAATAAAAGTATACAGCTTGTCCGTAACAGAGACCTTGTACGGGGTTGGGTTGAGCATGCGCTTATGATCCATACGCAACAGCCGCATCTGTCGTCAAGTACCGTCCAGAAGGACCAAGGATGAGAGTATGAGAGCCATTGAGATCAAGACAATGTTGATGTGATGCAAGTACCTGATCATCCACGCGCTTCTTGATGTCGTGAATGTCGGGCAGCTCGGCCGTCACTTCGCCCTTGTTCCAATAGACTTTGTACAGCTGCTCCACGCGGTTTGGCCGCACAACCGCGCGTTTCTGCTCCTGAAATGGATGGCGACACAGGATTTGCTCGCCCACCTAAACCACAACCCCGTGACCGATACATGAGGTGTTCCCCCATACGAACCCATCGATGCGCCGTGGCATGTCCAAAACACGGGCGGGCGTGGTACCTTTGGCGTCTCGTCCTCTCGGCGCGTCAACAAATCGCAAATCGGGGCACCGTCACGACCATACAGACGGTAGCAGTACTTGTCACCAGGCATGGTCACCTTTTGCACCTCTGCGCTCAGCTGTTGATAAACAGGATGAACGGTCAGTCGCCATGCCGATTGCACCTCCACCATAAGCCAGGGGACAAAGAAAGAAAGCGGGCATGACGAGTCAAACCTTGATGCAAGGACGGTTGTCCACCTCGACCAGCTTGTACACGCAGCCTGATTGCAGCGCACCGATTCAGCATGAGGACAGGCTATGAGGACGGGCTGTACGCTTGTGCCCATTGTCACGTATTGTTGTGCGCCTTCCCAAAGCCAGGAAAGGAAGTCTCACGAACCGAGGGCAGGCTGGGCTTGACAGGTCACCAAATGAGTGCCCACGCCAAAAGCATCGATGGAGTGGCCCTACACAATCACAGTGGTGGCAAGGTGAGGTTCAAACGGCACCGCAGCAACGCGGCAAGCCTGCGAGAAGGCTTTGGCAACGATACGCGATAAGTCGACAAACCTGTCCCTCGAGAGAGTAGAGAGTATCTTCATTGATGTCGTTCGAGGCCACAATGGTGAACTCGGCCAAGCTGGGAACGTCCAGTCTGTGGGAAAGGGTGGAAAAGGGTCAATCGTCAGTCAGGCGCACAGGAAGGCAGCAGTGGCCGCCGCAAAAGAATCCAGTCAAACAGCCAGGCAGCCCCGAGCCGAGCCATGCCAGCTTCAGGCCTACAAAAAGCCAATCCCCCAGTCGAATGCAACGGCACGTACTCCTCAGCCAGCCATTTAAAGACGCTGCGACAAACGTTGCTTTGGTAGGCCAGATCCCCCGAGTCGAGACGCACGCCTGATTGACGCCGTGCAGGCCAACCCCGGGAACAAAATTAGGAACAAAATGAGGAAGGAAAACCACAAAGTTTAGGAGAACGAGGCATCGCTGGTGTCTCCAGCTGCAAGGGCTCACGTACCAATGGCCGCGTAGCCGAGCTCGCGCAAAGTCAGAGCGACCACCAAGAAATTGGGGCAACCGCTGCGTAGGGCATCGTATCTGTGTTTAGGCAGCACACGTGAGGATAACCATCGGGCACAGCTTGGTAAGTTGGCGCCATAATCGCACAACGTACGTGTCGATCAGGGCCAAAAAGGCATGGGGAAAGGCGATGGCATATGCGCAAAAGGCTATCAGCTCTCGCTACCGCCAAACAGCGACAGAAATGTGACCGAATGTGAGCATCGGGAGAGTGTGTGGGGACCAGAACAAGTTGAAAAGCACGCGTGGCGTGTGGTGGGAGAACGGGCTGCAGCCGGTCAAAAGGCATGCAGGCCATACGTCGTTGGGATTGAAATCGCACTGCATGGGCGACTCGCGCCATTTGCTGGCCAACAACGCGCGCTTCTCTTGCGCCTAGACGCACCATGGAACAAGCCGCCTTTTGGTGAGCATGGATCGATGATCAGCCAGCCAGTCGAGCCGATGAATGGGTCATGGCTTTGTGCTTGAACAAGGGCCCAAGGACACTGACCAAAGCGACAAAATCAGGGCAAACTTCATCGCTGTCCTTGTACTTGACGGCTCGGTTGGCGAGCTGGTCCATGGTCTCGTAGGCGGAAACAAACGCGTGGGCATGCGTGCCAGAGATGGGAACCCCAAACAGTTTGCCAGCCAGGACGTTGCTGGTTGCGTTGAAACCGCCAATGTAGCAGTAGCGACTGGCAGAGAGGCCTCCATCAGGGCCCTGCACAAAGTCGAGCAGTGTGTGTTTGTGTGTTTGTGAGGGCCTTGCCTTGGGCTTGGTGCGGCCCGCTCAACCCAAGCAAGGTGGTCTGACCTGAGCGCGGCGAAGGCCAAACTCCAAAAGACGAGCCTTTGGACCAGCGGCAAGGCGGAAGCGGGCGGCATTGGTCGCCACAAGAGATGCATAGTTGATGAGGTTGAGAAAAGTGGTTTCGAGCAGCTGCACGATGGGAAGGGGTCCCTCCACGCGCATCAGCGGTACGCGAGGAAAGACAACGGTGCCCTGCGTCCAGGATGGGATGGGAATGAGACAACAGCATGGCAAGCTTTGCAGAGGTGGAAGGATTCGATTAAGATAAAATTAAAAAAACTCGCTCGAGAGGGCTCGCAAAGTTACCTCGGGGATGGCGTGGATGACAACATCGTTGGCCGTCTGGGCAGAATTGGCACGAGCGAAAAAAAAAAAAAAAAAAAAGAGTTGTGGACAGGGGTGAGCGCGTATCAGCTCAAAGGTACCAGCCCGCCGGATGTATGAGAAGAACATGACGCAATTGAGGCACTGACCACGCTGAGCAGGTAGTCAAAAAAGGCTGGATCCACGCTGGGACCCATGACTTCACGCAAGTAGTCAATGTCTGGTCAGTCAGCATCAGATGAGGCTTGAGATTGCCTGAGGATCAAAGCTCCCAATGCGCCACAGAGCTCGATCGCGCAACGGACCTTCTTCGCTAAAGGCAAACTTGTCCACAAAGTTGATGCAGTCTTGCAAACCGGCAAAGATGGTAAATTCACCCTGTGTCATTGCCACCCACCACGTGAATGCTTCGGATGGATCGCGATCAAGAAACCAAGCCAGTAGGGATCAGGAAGGGGGTGGCCTCTTGTGGATCTGCAGCAGGAGCATACATGAAAGGGACACTTGCGAAAGAAAAGGTCAAAGACTGCGTTGCAATCCCTAAAATCACGACAACAACAACAACAAAAAAGTGCGTGAGGAAGATGAGGCAGATCCGGCGGTAGCACGCCTTGATGTGCTCGTGTGCATCCGCCGGCTTGACCGATGCGATGCGGCTGGGAAAAGGGAGCACGACTGACTTGCGCCCGCTTTGCCAATATGCGTAAGCCATGGTTATCTGGTAGTAGTCGGTGAGGAGTGGCTTGATCAGGTCATTTTGCAGACCGCTCTGGCTCGGCTGCAGTTTCCAAACGGATCAGCCATACCCAAGGTTCGTTCGAATGAGTGTCCATCACACCTAAACATACCCAGCGCCGACTACGCCAGTCGACAAGCACACCCGCTTACCCGCAAATGCAGCCGCGACGCCTCGGACATGATGTTGATGATGATGACGCTGAGGCACACACCCCAGTCGTCTTGGTGTGAAGCAAGAGGAAAAACGATCCCAGCCCCCTCGGGCAAATGCAAAATGCAAAATGCAGCTCAAGACGACCACTGCGCGTGACCCAATGACACGGTACCAAGCGTTGGCCCCCCCACGCCTATCAAGCTCCTCGCACGACGACTGCCACCACACTGTCACAGATGAACAGACAGATGGCTCGACGGCAAAGCGATCCAGCCGATAAATGCACAAGACCAGCCACTGGCCGTGACCAAGCGAGCGAGAGAGAGAGAGAGAGAGAGAGTGTGTGTGTGTGTGTGTGTGCGTGTGTGCAGCTGCGAAACACAGAGAGAGAAGGGTTGCGCTCTCTCAATGTCATTGCAACACACACATTCAGCGTCTCCTCTCTCTGTCTCTCTCTCTCTCTCTCTCTTCCTTTCTTCTCTGGCTTAGCTCTCTCT